CTCAGTGAACCTAAGGGTATGGTATTTCCTTAAAACATGATGAGGATGGTATAGTAGTTGCAATTATTCCTGCGCGATCAGAAACACATTCCACGTTAATCGCAGGGGTGGAGACAGTCAACAATTGCGGTGTTCATTGGTTTAAGAGGGGAAAGACGAAGGACGCGTGAATGAGGAAGACATAACAGTCGACTGTCTCCACCCATACAATCCGTGGAATGTGCGTTCGGCTTGTCGTAGGCAGGGCACATTGAGGATCCCCTGTGAGGGGGATCGTATTTGGGCACTGGAAGAAGGGAAGGAATGGTACAACTTTCTCGGTTATCTCCCGTTCCATGTGCGCTATATTACCTCGTTGGGCGGTTTTTCCGAGGGAAAATTGAAGAATTCCTGGGGAGAAGGTAGCAATCAGAAGAGGAAATTTTGAGATAGTAGCCTACATTGCTAAATTTTTCCCTGTTGGGACGTGCCCTGATCGTAGACCTGTAGCGCACCATCCTCCTTTCTCTCGGGCCACTAAACCAACACAAAAAGACGCTTGAGAAGGTGTTGGAGGCTAGTTTAACGTCTGCAAATTCTCACAGGTCCCCACAATTACTGAGGGTGGAGGAGGTAATGGTAGCGTTTAGATGATGAGTTGCCGCCACGCGTTGTAATCATCTTTGAGGTAGTTTTCGCCTTCAGACGGGGTTTAGTGTATAATCCAATTAGGCAGGCGATTGAAAGCAACTAGAAAGGACGGGAATCAGAGAGCAATCGAAGTGTTTGTGTTTTGATAACTTTCAAGCCAATTAGAAAAAAAATTAGGGGGGAACCCTGATCGTTTCAAGTAAAGGGGTTAAAATTCCCGCCAACAGGAACACGCGTGGAGATCCGGCTCCACTAATGCAATTCCATCGATCATATCTTTCTAAGTAACCAGTCAATTATATCGGAATGTGGATTGCAATTAGGATTAGGCGCAGGGTCAAGCGAGTGGCGCGGAATCCGCGATGAGGATAAGGAGGTTATACGTTGCAGATCTCAACTTCCTCTCGTAAACTAGATTTTAAAGGTTGGACCTTGGACTTTGGGGAAATCGTACTCGGGACAAGTTCTGCCGACGGAATTCAGTAAAACACGACCCGTCCCCCTCAAAAATTCCTCCTCACGACCTTCTGCCCTTTCTCATCCTACCTAAAATTCCCTTTAATTCTTACAAGTTTCTTCATTCCGTTTTTGTTTTTCACTGAACGTGTCGCGCGTGTCGACAGGGAGCGAAGGGGTATACAACGTAGAACCCAAGAAACAGAAAACAACTGCAAACATCTCTTCTAAACCAAATAGAACGCTTTTCCCTTCAGCAAACAAATACGACCCCTCCCCCCCTTTTTCTGCTCGGACCCCAACGCACGACGACCTGGCCATGGTCGTCGGGGGGAAAACTGGCGTTTTGCAGAATAGTTGGGACGGCTGAGAGCAAGTGATTCAAGGGTACGATCGAGGAGAGAAAGGAATTATGTTAGGATACGGGGGAAGGGGAGCAAAACACGCCCGTCATGGCGGCGTTCACAAATGGAGGCTTAATGTCAGGACGTTGGGAAAGGGACTCTTTGAACATTTGCTTCTGTCACAGTTTATCTCCAATCCCTCAAGTTCTTTAGAACCGGCTGTAGAGTTATGGCCTTCTTGCCACCCCCGAGTTTAAACACCCTCTAGTACCTTTGAAAACCAGGACCCCTTCAAAAAAGTTGTTTAGAACGACGATCTAAAGGATTCTCACGCCGTTTTTATGGCTCTAATTCTGTTTCAAGGTCGTCGGCTTCACCGTTGTTGGTTCAGTTGGTTTAGGTGCCAAATTACGGCGCGTGTTGTCCTTCAGGTTCAAGTTTAAAGTTCAATTGCGCTTGATTAGTGTAAACAATGTTTTCACGCGAATTCGTATTGCTGTTGACGTAGAAAAAGCTGGTCAAGGAAAGCCACGGTAGGGTAGCATATCCTGAGCCTTAGTGCTACTAGGGCTCCCGAGATCGTAGTTCCCCGGATTCAAGAAGCGTGAACGTTATTGTGCCGGTATTATCGGTCGATTAGGTCTTGGTGCAAATGCCGCGCACGCGACTTCATTTACAGCTCCGTTTTCGTCACAGTTTGGATGTAATGTCTCACACCCTTTTCAGTCATAGTAGCTGGACAGTTCAGTCTAATCATGTGCGCGGGAATTTTGCCTCATTTCCTCCTGAGAGTGTGGGATTGGTGCCTTCAGACTACAATTAGCGCCCACTTCCCCCTCCAAAGAAGTCTTAGTCTCCTGAAAAAATGAATCGTACCTGTCTCCATCCCTCGTCCGCTTGAACTGTGGTCCAACAATACATGCAATTGTAGGTCCGACGAGACCTCTAATCACAGGATCTTCCAGTAAAGCCCCAACCCAGAGATCAATTCGATCTACGCTGCCGTAAACCTTCTCCAGCTTCTCACGAGTAGCTGTGTTAAGGATCTCTCGTGATAACTGAAAAAATTGGATTTATTGGGAAAAACTCTCGGCCCAAGAAGCACCACTTACATGATCGAAGGTGGTAGCAACTCCCATGCCGCACAGTTCACGATATTTCGAATAACTTTGATGGCCATGATCGCGGCCTCGCTGAAAAGAGGGGGATTCTGGAAGGTAAATTCCGCGATAGCCGAATGGGCGGGAAATCCTAGTAGTTCCGCCTTTTTCATTGATCTCGTTTACAACAAATTAGACAGAATTGTGTCAACGAAGAAGGCGGAGTGGTAAGGTGTCCCCGCCCATTTGGTTGTCGTGGAATGTGCCTTTGGGCTCATATCGAATTGAACAAGAATTCAAGAGGCTCCACACGAAGCCAGGCGAGTATCTTACCTGAATGTTGATCGTACTGAGATCTGTAGAACCAAACATATTTTCCGTAACGGTCGTAGTGACTCGTTGTGGTCGTTTGACATTCTGGGTGAACATTCCTCTCACCAAAGGATCCGGTCCTCCCTGGAATAATACCGTATCACGAAGGATAAAGGTATGCATGAACCATCACAATAAAAATTCCATACCTCATTTACAAGTACATCTGAATGTAATGTGCCTTTTTGGAGTGCAAGTGCTCCAAAAGATGAGTTACCAAAGTTAGGATCAAGCCGTTGGTAGAACTCCTGAAAGATTTTCAGTCTTTCAATTCTGTGGGAGCAAATGTGACGTTTACAGGACTGAGCAATCACCTGAATCATTCCGTGACCAAATCGGAAAGCAGCTGACGTGAATTCATTGGCAATGGTGGCGTCGACCGACGGATCATAGCCTCGATAATCACCGACCACAGAAGAGAACGCTGCACCCAAAATCTTCGGTAACCATTCTCTGGAATCCATAGAAGATTGTGGAGAAGGAGGAAGGGATGAAGGAGAAGAATCTTTTAGGGTTCCTTTTATCTCATTGGGGAAGAGGGTTC